CATAGCCCCCCATACACACTGCCCCCATAGCCCCCCATACACAATGCCCCCACAGCCTCGCATACACTCTTCTCCACATACACACAGTGCTCCCCATACAAACACTGTACCCCACATATACACAGTGCTCCCCATACAAACATTGCATCCCCCAAACACACAGTGCTCCCCATACAAACACTGCACCCCATACACACAGTGCTCCCCATACAAACACTGCACCCCACACACACACACTTTTCCACATACACACAGTGCTCCCCATACAAACACTGCACCCCACATACACACAGTGCTCCCCATAAAAACACTGCACCCCACACACACACTTCTCCACATACACACAGTGCTACACACCATACAAACACTGCACCCCACACACACACACAGTGCTCCCCATACAAACACTGCACCCCACACACACACAGTGCTGCCCATTCAAACACTGCACCCCCCCACACACACACGTCTCCACATAGACACAGTGCTCTCCATACAAACAATGCACCCCACACACACACACTTCTCCACATACAAACACTGCACCCCCCACACACACTTCTCCACATACACACAGTGCTCCCCATACAAACACTGCACCTCACATACACACAGTGCTCCCCATACAAACACTGCACCCCACACACACACTGCACATACTGCACCCCCACACACACAGTGCTCCCTCACACACTTCTCCCCCCACACACACTACACCCCCATACACATCTACCCCACACACACACACACACACACTGCGCCCACATACACACACTTGCCCAACTGCACTCCCATACACACACTGCCACCACTACACCTTCATACACACACTGGCCCCATACACACAGTGCTTCCACTGCACCTCACATATACACACTGCACTCCCATGCACACACTACACCCCTCACACAAACACACAGTTCTCCCACTGCACCCCTCTACACACACTGGCCCACATGCACTGCCTCCCGTACACACACTCTGCACCCCTCACACACTGTCTCCCATACCCACCCTGCATCCTTCACACACTCAGTGCCTCCCATACACACACACACACACACACACACACACTGCCAACTCTCACACACACACACTACTAGAGGCTCTATCCCCTACTACAGCCCCTATCCTGGCAGACCCCAAGTAAATTGTCAAACTGTTTTTAAACCATTTGACTATTTACTCTGGGAGGGCGCCACGGCACTCCTGGCACCATAGCCACCACAGAGAGCTGTAGTGGTTACTGTGCCTGGATTGTTTCTTTAAATAATCTATGAGTGCCCCTCCCGAGATGAGACTCTGGATCTGCCAGTGCCCCGTGATCAGACAAATCCAGTCCATCCGGACCCAGAAAGGGGTGGCTCAGAGCCCAAGAGATGGTTATCAGACAGCTGCAGCAGGTGAGAAAAAGCTTTTATTTTTTTACCTATAATTGATTCACTCTTTGATGCCCCTGTCTGGGTGGGTAAGGATTTTAAAAATGTCTCATCCAAAGAACTTGTTTTCTATGGTATTATGATTATATTCAGGTGGATGTTATGTCTTGTTAAAAGAATCTTGAGATAGTGGAATATATCTGTGGCTTTGAAGTTATTTTTATTGTTTGCCTTGTCATTTGTTTTATAATTCGAGTTAGCTCTCAAAGCACTCTGGAGGGATTTACAGCTTTGACTATAGTCTAGAAATTACTTAAGAAAGCTGGCATGCATGCACAATGTGCTATTGAATGTAAACATATAATTACTGTATTGACACATGTAATGCCGCACAATAATGTCTACAATAAGAATGTTGTGGTACCACCGAACCCACTCGTTATACCCTAGCCATGGCAAATGTCGACACAATCTGATATTGATGCAAAACTACTATTGTTGGACATTGGATATCTGTAATGCTTAACAAAAAAAAAAAAATTGATTCAATGAAAAAAAAGAAAGCTGGCATGCTCTCAGAGGGCCCTCTAGACCCACATATATGGAGGGAATTTATGGCAAAATACAGAGGATGGTTAGAAGATAATGACTTAGTAGAGGTCGTCCAAAAATGGCATGATACTGCAGTCGGATTAACTAAATGTGATTGTAGAGAAACCACCAGAAAAGTTATATCATATTATCAATGTTTTGGACCTCTAGGGTCCCAGAGTAGGCAAGATCCTGGAAAAAATCTTGGCAACCCACCCCCTTTCCCGGGTAAGGCAGGGACTCCTTTGGTCCCTAAAGACCAGGCGAGTTCCCAAAATCAGGCATCTCTTGGTTCTACTACCACTAGTCAGAAAGAATATTGGATCTGTCCATGGTGCAAATGGAGAAATTCTTGGGAGGAGGAAAAGTATACAAATTGTGGTTTCGCTAAACCTCCAGGTCACATATTTGCCCTTTTACATAAATCAGAACCCCTCTTTCCAGTAATATTTCGCAGTGGGACTTCATATGGTCCCCCAGCCACCCCAGTAAGACCTATGGGCAGCAGCTGCCAGATGTAGAAAAGGTCCCCTTAGCTGTAGTGCTGTCTCTATCCACCATTCAAGCTACTTACCAGTGTACTTGGATGGATTTAAAACAGATTGTCACCCTAAAACCTGGCCCCATTTGGTCTAGAATAATTGCTAAATATACTGATGCGCATGAAGATAACCTCAGAAGAAGCAACATGCAAACAGATGAATGGTTTAGAACCAAGTCTGCATCTGGGGCATGCTATGTCACTGCAATGAGAGAATGGGCTAAAGTAAAGACAAAAGGAACTAGCCCATAAATTAGGAGATGTAGTACAAGGGAAAGATTAAACTGTTGAAACATTCTTCACCAGACTACAGATGGATTGGGAGGCATTGGGTTACACCGATATTGAAACCACTTCCACCAGACTGCTTATTAACTGCTTCATGGGTGGTCTCCAAAATGCTAGACCTGAGTGGAGAAGTTTAACCTGTGGTAATCTGGTAAAGGTGGCCATGGGAGTGGAAGTCAATCTTAAATACGAGAAAGAGGAGCACACCTCTAATGGCACTATCTGTCCCTAGAGCTGGTGGAGACAGAAGGCAGGTAGACTGCTGGAATTGTGTCAGGAAAGGACACATTAAATGAAACTGCAGGTGCCCTCCTAAAAATAGAAACCCCAAGGGTTCAAATGATAACTCCCATGACAGCCAACCACCTCCACCACCTCCCCCTTCCCAATAGGAAATTGGCAACCCAGTGTCCCTACATGCTTTAAATATCCCTGAATCAGCTGGACCCTCACCCGTTATTAATGTTACTATGCCCGGGGAGCGAATAGTCCCTTCTCTGTATGTGTTTCTGTATGATAAGTCTGAAGATGTATTATCATGTGTAGGGGTGGATGGGATCCCAAGTGACATTCCCCTTACCCACAAACTGAGATTGCAGCTACACGACTCTACTGCCCTTGGAACAAGATTACTTGTCGGCCCTCATGCCCCTGCTAATCTACTAGGCAGTGATATACTATCTGCCCTTAATGCAAATATCCAGTATAGCCCCACTGGAAAAGTAACATTATCTGTGCCTTTAGAGGACAAACAAATTATATCCCTCTCAAATGTTCTGGCAACTCTCACTATGCCCAGCCATGTGCCAGAACCTGCCCTTGACTTTTCCCTGTAGCCCATAGAGAATCAGGGACTGAGGACGACAGATACAGGCAGACTCTCTGTGCCCCCAGTCAAAGTGAATCTCCTGCCAGGAGCCACCCCTCCCTATCAAAAACAATACCCCCTAAACCCAGCACAGGAAGATGCTATTTCCCAATCTGTGCAAGAATTACTGCAGGCAGAGATAATGGTCCAGGCCACCTCCCCTTGTAACTCACCATTGTACCCAATTAAGAAAAAGCAAGAGAAAGGGAAACCTGTGGTCTACCGTATGGTACATGATTTAAGGGCAATTAATGCTGTAACTAAACTCATTGCCCCTAATGTTCCCAACCCACATACCTTGTTGTCACAGATACCACCTTCCTCTAACGTATTTACTGCATAAATACACACCTCCTTCGACTATTGAGCAGAGGGACAATAACAATATGCTTGTTGCCTATTATTAGCTCCTACCTATATACACATGTACAACGTATTGACTAACTATGAACTATGTTACTGAAACTACCTCTTAACAACTTGTGTATGCTGTTGTGGCATCACAAGCTCGTTTGTTTCAATCTAAATGCACTGGAAAATAAACAATTTAAAAAATAAATAAATAAATATTCCAGTGTGTGGACAATAATTATATTAAGAACATGTTTTAGAGCAGTCATAGCACTGCATAACAGCAGCTAAGTTTCTATATGAGTAAAGTCAACATGCTTAAAACATTTGATTAAATCCGGAGTAGGATAATGCCTATTGTATGACCAGTATCTGCACGGCCATCTTAAATATTGATTGTGCCCTGGGCAAGCATTTGATTGGGCCCCCGGGACCCTGCCCCCCACTCCCATACATTCATTCACGTCCTCCACTCCCCAATGCAGCAGCAGAACTAAAGTAGAGAGGGCACAGGTGCAATCATTTTCTGGATCATTGTTGCAACTTAAACAATGCTTTGACAGCTGGTACTCTACCATTTTCCCTAGGGCAGCACAAAACCAGGATACACCACTGGTTCCGCCCCAATAGCCAGAACTTAAACAAATAAATGATGACGGAGAGAGCCTCATCTCGTCTTATGTGGGGGCCCACCAGGATTCAGAGTCAGAGGAAGACTCATCTCTGGTGACAAAGAGAGACATCAGGGACCTACTGCAGGAGATGCAGGAGGTCTGGAAAGCAGACATTAAAGAAACTTAGAAGGAGATGGGGGCCCTCCAGACACAAATCACTGGGGTGGAAGGCAGAGAAGATGCCAGGGACCACACTCTGCAAGTAAGCCAAGACCAAATACAAGACCTCACAACAGGTCCAAAGTCTAACCAGAACTGTCACGGCACTGGAAGCGAGGCGCAGGAAGCGGAATTTCCGCCTTCCAGGCATCCTGGAAACCGTTGGAGGGGATGACCTACTGCCATATGTACAGAGTCTGATGGCCAAAATAGGCGTGAAAGGCAGCAAGGACCCAGGCATACTACTTACCGCATTCCAAATTCGGAAAGCAGCGGCCGCCGCAGGTGATGCACCCAGGGACACCATAGTCATGACTAGGGTCGTGGCAGTGCGAACGGCGATACTGTCACACTCCAGGGAACTCAATAATATACAATTTGAGGGGCATATAGTGGCAATCTATGGGGACATCCCCTTTGCTGCACTGATGAGGCAGAGACAACTTGCACCGATAGCGAAACAGCTCCGAGAGGCAACGATCCGCTACAGATGGGGAACTGATGGCTCATTGTAGGTCCTGAAGGGAGACCAGTAATTCACCCTAGCCATCGAGCTCCGTTCCTCCAGCAACTAAACCTGCCCAGCATAGACACTACTCAGACCAGCTGCAGGGAAGATATAGCTAAGCAGATGCTCAGAAGCGGACTACAGCAGCAAAGCCAAAAAAGAATCCTACCTGATAACCCCCGTGATCACAAAAAAACACCTACAAAGTCGACACTCTACACCAGTACTCACACGCTACTAGCTCCTTCCCCCCCAGCCCCATATGCCTACAACACGAGGATACATCAATAGACACACGCTTGCTCAATATGTAGTTAGCATGTTTGCCATGGTTTAGTAAGGCCTACATATCCTTAAATAACCAGTTGATGGCTATGAAAAAAGTTAAGTTCCCCACAGGCGATGCCACAGTGACTAACCGACAACCTGGTAACATGTTGATATGTTCTTTTCTATATACTACGATTCTGATGTAATTTTGGTGAGATGTCAAACTCCAATAAAATACAAATTATACAAAAAAAAAACAACAACAAATTGTCCAGACCAACTTCAGACAAGTGAATACCATCCTTAAAGAACAAACCTTCAAAATGACCCTCAATGTCAACATGGCAAAAAGTCACACCAGCGATTGATGGCATAAATTTTTCCCTGGCTCTGTTCAGCTTGCGCCTAACTCTTTCAAAAGCTTTAAGATTTGCATTATGCAACCACACCAGCCTAGGAACAATCTCAGACCAAATGATTAAGGAGTCTGGGAACATCCTATTAAAATTTCACATATCTTCAATTTGTGAAACAGAACCACTAACTTGACTCTACCTACATCATTACCTGCGTAGTGAAAAAAAAAATGTGGCCACGGAAACTGATTTTGACATTCCTGTAATACATTAAATACATCATCCCTTACCAAACCTCTTACACCAACCCAAAATATTGAAACAGTCTCATTAGCATAACTCCAATTCTCTCCGTACAATCTCTCTACGGCTCTTCTATGTGCCCAGTAGATGAATGAATGACCTACAATCCATACTATAATTGATCTTTTATCTGAAAAGAGAAACAGTAAGTAACCATATTAACAGAACATTAAGGCCTAACATAACCTTTGTATCTGTTTGATGACCATCGCCCAACTTTTTTAACCAACTCATTCGACAAACCTTGTGATACTGCCTCTGTTGCAGCACCAATACAAAATGAATGATATGTAATTATTTTTCCTTGAATACCTAACTGTTTGCATGAAAACTGGAGAACTTTTCAAAATTGAAACTTAGAAAGATAGTGTATGGGTATGTTAGAATTAACCCCTGAACTATGTACTAAAAAACTACCATGTAATCTAGGGCGAATATTTAAAAAGGCTTTGACTACTTTAACTGGGCATAAATTATCATGATGAGTAGCTCCCAGCTGAACCTATCTGCCTTTCCTTTGTTGATCAGTTTTTGATTTTTTTAATAAAATTAGCAACCCAATTTCTGAACCCAAGCCCTTTCAACATTTGCTGTATAACAAATTCTTTAAAGATAGATTTTTTTACCCAAAGCTTTAAAGGAAGAGGAAATGCCTAATAACAACCTATTTAGTGAAAACATAGAAGCTCCAGACGGAATTTTATTGATAACAGATTGAATTGCATCCTGTATGTTAGGATCAGTAGCGTCTTTATTGAGATTAACCATAAAGCGATTCCACTAATTCCATGCAAACAAATATTCTTTCCAATTGATTGATGATAACGATAGACTCAACAATCGGCTTATCTGTTCGAAGTTAGATCCCAGATGTGTTTGTTCCACATTTGTCCGCTAGAGGTGCAAGGGATCTGACAGATGAAGTCAAAATGGGACAAGAAATCAGCTATACAATTACTTTTGCCACTTACATGTTTTGCTTTTACCTATATATTTTTAACAAAGCAGATACTAATCTTCTCAATAAATTAATGACAAGGATCAATTTTGCTCGAAGAGAATTAATTACACAAACAACTCGGAAGTTGTAGCAGTGGAAAGTACTTCTCTTATTTGCCAATTCAGAGCCCCATACTTCCAAGGCTACTACAATTGGAAAGAGTTCCAAAAGTGTAATCATCTTAGTCCAACCCATGTCTGAAGCCATCCAGCCCATTTCCCTTGAAAGTAAATGCCAAAGCTTTGTGAACCAGTGGCATCAGTGAAAATATCTAATTCCCAATTGGATTCAAAATCACTTTGCCAAATCGTGGAACCATTAAAATTGCTTAAAAAAGCATTCCAGACTTGTAAATTATCTTTGATCTGCCCAGCTATTCGCACATGGTGATGCATAGTTAATGTCATAAGTACACTAGATAAAATGTTATTCAGTTTATGTAGTTCCCGCTTGGGTAGACTTGTCGCTTTCCGACAGGGTTTTTTTGTTTTTTTTAACAAAACAAAAACGAAAGCGTGCATCATGATCAGACAGATTTGTACATAGAACTTGATGATTCCACCTTAATGCAATGTCAACATATTCGGCGGGTTACATGTACATTTTGGTTAAACACATTGCATCTTTTAGTTAAGACATGTCAGTGGCGAACCCATGCGTAGTTGTATGTCTTGCTTTATATATCAACGCCGTAGAGATGGGGGTATGTCCAAGATAGGAGAAGGGAAAAGAAGGAAGGTAAGATAGGTGGAGGGCTAGAGAGGGTGGGGGGGGGAGCAAGAGGAATATGTGGTGCTGAGTTTCTTCCGGCAGGATGGTATCCGGGGGACGCCGGGGGGTGTGAAGGGGGGTGTATCAGCAAACATGCCATGTGCCGGATGTGCAGCGGCCTCAGTCCTCACCCAGTGCGTTGTCGTCCCATAGGTCCCAGATCTTATGGAAAGTTTTAGTGGACCCCCTAACTCTGGATGTCAGATCGTCCATCAGTCTTATCTCTTTAATTCTAGCTACAATTTCTGACATGCCTGGGGTAGTTGGCTTCAGCCAGGAGGCTGCTGCCGCCTTCCTAGCCGCCAGCATGATTTTATGTATAAGCTTTTGTTCAGTTCTGGTCCAACCCTCCAACGGTCTGTTGAGCAAGTATACCCAGGGATCTAATTCTAAGAGAACACCTGCCTCAGAAGGTTTTTAACTCGATTCCAGAATCTAACCATACTGGGACATTCCCACCACATGTGTAGATAGGACCCCTTGAGTCCGCATCCCCTCCAGCATTCATCAGTCGTAGTTTTGTGTATTCGAAACAACTTTACAGGGGTGGTGTACCACCGGAACATCGCTTTAAAGGATTGTTCCTGGAGGCTCACACATACAGAGGTGGTGGCACTGGCGTCCCATATCTCTTGCCATTCAATCCCTTCTAGAACTTCACCTATTTCCTGTTCCCATTGATCAGTATACGTTAGTCTGCCCCATTCCCTCGTCTCCGAGCAGAGATGGGCGTACAGCAGCGTTATCATGACCTGGGGCAAGTTCTCCGTCAGACACCAACGCTCAAAAAATGTCAGTGGTTGTATCGCCGCTCTTTTGATATGTGGTTAATAAAATCTTTCAGCTGGATATATCTAAAAAAGTCGCTCAGCGTGAGATGCCTCTCTTGCGCGAGATCGTCAAACCCCACTATTTAGGTGCCTTTGTATAAGTACAAGAAAAAAAGGTATAAACAATATACCAGCAAGTGGAGCGCTATATTGAATATATATATAAATAATGAGGGGGTATACTCACCCCTCCAACATAGTGATACAATGTGTCCAAATGTACATACAAAGTAAAACAACAAAAAGAGAGAATATAGTGCAGATGGTTTACAAAAAAATAAAAACTGAATAATGGTAGCAATTGGTTGAAACCACTCACGTGGGTTGGAGCCTATAAGCTATTGGCTCCGTAAGTGACTCCTTCTTGCTCTTGAGGCAGCAACACACCCCTTTATCCCAAACGATATTCTCCCGAAGATATGGAACAAACTTCCATATCTTCGGGAGAATATCGTTTGGGATAAAGGGGTGTGTTGCTGCCTCAAGAGCAAGAAGGAGTCACTTACGGAGCCAATAGCTTATAGGCTCCAACCCACGTGAGTGGTTTCAACCAATTGCTACCATTATTCAGTTTTTATTTTTTTGTAAACCATCTGCACTATATTCTCTCTTTTTGTTGTTTTACTTTGTATGTACATTTGGACACATTGTATCACTATGTTGGAGGGGTGAGTATACCCCCTCATTATTTATATATATATTCAATATAGCGCTCCACTTGCTGGTATATTGTTTATACCTTTTTTTCTTGTATTTTGCATTTTCTTGTATTTTGCACTTCATTGTGGATTAAGGTATTCCACTTTTTGTGTTGAGCTGCTTTTATTCAGGCACTTTAGTATATCACTCACTATCTCAGTAAGGGATAGTTTTTGTTTTCTTTGTGCCTTTGTATAAGTAGCATATTCTCTGGATCCCTGTTTGCTCCAGGTTCCTAAAGTCTCTGGCAGTCATGCCCGGGGTAAAGGCCTTATTACGGAAGTAGGGCATCAGGGGGGAAGGTGAGGATGCTAGATTGTATTTTAAAAGTGTTAGGTCCCACAGTCGAAGTGAGTTCAGGATTGCTGGGCATGTAACCCTGATCATGGGTCTATTTTCTTTTGGTACCCACATAGCGAATTGTGAAAGATCAGCACCTATCATGAGCGATTAGGCGGCCAAATAGTAGTACTACAAGCAGGGCAAACCCAGTCCTCCCCTCGCCTTGGGTCTATAAAGGAGCTGTCTGGAAATTCTATGATGTTTATTTTGCCAGATGAAAGCACCTATGGTTTGTTGCAGTGGTAGTAGCTGAGTTTTAGATCGGTGTATGGGCAGTGCCTGGAACAGAAATAGGATGAGTGGAAAGATATTATTTTTCACGGAGTGAATCCGTCCTACCCATGATATCGGCATATCCAGCCACTTTTCGAGGTCTCTTGTTAGGGTTTTCATTAATGGAGTGTAATTGTAGTGGAACAATTTTTCGGGGTCCTCG